AGATGCAGTAAACCTCAATAAGGTACTGGCTAACAGAACATAAAGGGTCATCAAGAAGATTATACACCCTGTCCAAGTCAGATTTATCCCCGGGGATGCAAGGATGGTTCAATATAATGTAAATCAATAAATGTAATACACTATATTAAGAGAGTCAAGGACAAAAACCATGTGATCCTCTCAATAGATACAGAAAAAACATTAGACAAAAGTCAACACCCATTCATGATAAAAAACTGACAGAAAACTGGAATAGTTGGTCTTTATATCAACTTGATAAAGTCTATCTATGAAAAGCCAACAGCCAACATCATACAAAACTGAAAACCTTCATGCTAAAATCAGGAATGAGACAAAGATGTCCAATATTGCCACTCCTGTTCAAGCCATAGCAATTAGACAAGAGAAAGAAAAGCAATAAAGATAGGAAAGGAAGAAGTGGAACTCATTATTTGCTGATGATATGATACTCCACATAGAAGACCCAAAGAGCTCCACCAGTATAGTTACATTCATTACTGGGAACTTTTACCCTTACATAATAGGTCTTGGTTCTCATTTTTTTCCCCTTCTCCCTGCCCTCCCTTCACTCCCTCCTCCCCTCCCCATTTACAAACACTTCACTTCCATTTTTTTCATTTTCCCATATTTTTTTCTTTTCCCTTATTCCCTTTCCCCTACCCTTCCCACACTTGATTGACAGATTCAGTGGAGTAGCTGGACACAAGGTAAATACTCAAAAATCAATAGCCTCCTTGTACACAAATAACAGCCTCACTGAGTCAAATTAGGGAAACAATCCCTTTCACAGTAGCATCCAAAAAATGAAATATCCAGGCATCAATCTAATGAAGGAGACAAAAGTCCTCTACACTGAAAGCTACAGCACTCTAAAAAAAAGAGACTGAAGAGGATAGAAGAAAATGGAAAAACATCCCTTATTCCTGGGTAGGGGGAATCAGTATAGTGAAAAAATGGCCATACTTCCAAAACTGCTATACAGATTCAATGCGATCCTAATTGAAATCCCAAGAGTTTATTTCATAGAACTACAGAAAGCAATCCAAAAATTCATTTGGATGAATGAATAGCAAAAAACATTCTAGTCAACAGAGACATGACAAGGGGGTATCACAATTCCCAACTTGAAGCTATACTACAAAACCACTGTGATAAAAACTGCATGATACTTACTGACAAAGAAGCAGACCCGAGGATCAGTGGAAGAGATTAGAAGATGCAGAAACATCTCCTGACATAATCAACTACCTCATCTTTGGCAAAGGATCCAAACACCTTCTGTGGAGGAAAGATAGCCTCTTTAATAAATGGTGTTGGAAAAACTGTATTTCAACTTGTCAAAGATTAAAAGTAAATGCATATATTTCACTATGCACTAAACTAAAATTCAAGTAGATTAATGATACAAATATTAAAACAGAAATACTAAGCTTGCTGGAAGATAAGTAAGATAGAATTCTTGAAGGTATCAACATAGGAAAAGACTGTGAACAAATCCTCAGTAGCATAAGAACTAGCTCAAAGAATCAATTGGGATCTCCTCTTTTTAAAAAGCTTCTGCACTGCCAGAGAAATCACAAGTAGAGCTAAAAGACAACCCACAGTGTGGGAAAAAATTTTACCAGCTGTTCCTCAGTCAAAGGTCTACTATCTAGATATATAAAAAACTCAAAAAAATCAGAACCCCCAACTGTAAAGACCCAATTCACAAAATGGGTGACTGAAATGAATAGACAGGCATTTCTCAGACAAAGAAGTAAAATGCAGCAAATAGTCATATGAAAAATGTTCAACATCACTGGATTCAAGAGATGCAGATGAAAACAACACAGATTCCACCTCACCCCAGTAAGAATGGCTGCTTTCAAGAAATCAGCCAATAACCAGTGTTACCAGGAGTGTGGGGAGAAAGGAACCCTTCTTCATTGTTGGTGGGAGTGCAGACTGGTGCAACCACTGTGGCAATCAATATGGAGATACCTCAAACAAGTAGGATTAGAAATCCCATTTGACCCAGCTATTCCTCTGCTGGGTCTTTCCAAAAAAATTAAAAGAATCGTACACAGCAATATATGCTCATCCATCTTTATAGCAGCACAATTTATAATAGCTCAAACTTGGAAACAGCCCAACTGCCCATCAACTGGAAACTGGATAAAGAATATGTGTTTTTTTAAAAAAATAAAATGGAATACTACTCAGCCATAAAGAATGAGAAACAGGAGAGATTTAGAGCTAAGTGGATGCACATTGGGGCCATACTCTTAAATGAAATTACTAAGTTACACATGTGTAAATACTGAATAGTATCTCTGGTGTGAAAAAGTAAAAGTGTAAGTAAGAATTAAAATGTATACTTGATATTATGTAATAGAAAAAAGTCTAAAAGAGTAGAGGAAGTGTGAGGGGTTGGGAAAAGGTAAAAAGGGAAAAGAAAAATTTGTGCAAAGGAAAAACAAGGAAACAATGTCTTTGTAAACAGGGAAGGGTGGAGGGGCTGAGGGGAGGGCTGGGGAATGGGGGAAAATAAGAACCTGATAAGTCATGTATAGATGCCATTGATGAATGTAACTGTGTTGTATACTTAATATGTACCAATATATTTAATAAAGATAAAAAATGAAGATATATAACTAATCATTAGTAGCTTTATGGCTTGATAGTTGCATATTGAATCTGTGCTGAGGAGAAAAAACCTCAATTTTTTCTGCTATATTTTCTTGTCAAAATATGGTCTACTACTGTTTTAGCACTGGCAGTGAACATTAGGAATTTGAATTCTAGTATTCTGCCAGAAATTTAGCTCAGTGGTTCTGGCACCTGCCTCACAAGCCTAAGATCCTGAGTTCGATCCCCAGTACCAATAAATAAATAAATTAATTCTATTATTCTGGAGATAAACATTAAATTGTGTGTCAGGGCTACAAAATCAGACTTTAGATTCCATTTAAAGCTGTAACACTACAATCTCAATAGAGCATTTGAATCCAACAGCTTACAGTTAAGCATCCAGAAACTGGAGCTTATACCCATATTTTCTGCTGTCACAATGACATCTCTCAAACTTTGGTGATGAGAGTGTATGTGATATTTCCTTGTTATTGCTTCTCTTTTGCTTGGGATAGGCTCTTGCTATGTAATTCAGGCTAACCTTGACCTCATGATGATCCTCCTGTCTCGACCTCCCAAATGCTGGGATTGTAGGCGTGCGCCATCACACCTGGCATGTGTGCGTGATATTTCTTGCACACATGAGCTGTTCCCAGCAGACTTGTTACTATTTAGTAATATATCTCAATCCAAAATGATTTTCTCTCTAGACAATGCAGGCTGAACATTATTGAGAATAGAATTCCTATAGATAAGAATTTAAATATGCTAGGGTGATAGCTGTTAGATTTAGCATAACCAAGTATTCTTTTCTTCAATAAATATTCATTTAAAAATAGCCTTTATGATATATTTTGTGTCAGTTTGAAAAATCACTCCTCCAACACATGGGGGACTGTGTATGCATATGCCCTGAAGGGTGAATAGCCTTCCCTTGGAAGCAGCAGAAAGTCTGCTTACTTGCACTGCTGCCTGTATTAATCAGTGCCAGTCTAATGCTTTATTGAAGAGCATCTATTTTTTGTCTAGATAGAACACAGAGATCTTTCATGACGATAGAAGTTGGAGCCCACTTATTCTAGAAGGACATGTTTTAAGAATTCCTTTTAATTTCAGAATGTTCGAAGATGTAGGTTCAGTATGCTGTCATGTGAATGTGGAGCTTCTTCATCTTTTTTTTTTTTTCTTCTGGGTATTTTATTTTCAGTTATCCCTTTGGCTGTATAGTCCTATTTTGATCTTAAATGAGGAAGAAGATTATCTTTCAATTATAAGGTGCCTCATCAGGTTAAAAGGAAAAAAAAATTCAGAGATTTGTCACTAGCCTAGATGAGATAAATAAAAACTGTAAACATAAAATACTAGAAATTAGTAAGAAAGGTTCAAAAGCTGTAAGAGAAAATAATCAAGACTTCAAGTAAAACCTTAGTATTACAAGACCTCCTTATCTCCCCTAGTAATTTACTGTCATTCTTATGAAAATTTCAGGGTTTTGAATTTGCTTTTGCTTTCTGAAGCAGACACTCATACAAGTTATTAGAAATTGTCTTTAAGGGGGAAACAGTTTTTAATGCTTTTTAACAAAGAGAGAAAGGGTAGAGTCATGTAATGCAGAGTTTCAGAATACCACGCCTCCCGATGATCACAGAATTTCATTGTGTGGTTCCAAACACGCCAAGAAGAGAAAAGTCTAAATCAAAACCGCCTTTGATTGGTTTGTCTTTCTGAGCATGGGTTAATTTTGTTCTTTATGAGGGAAGTGTGCAAAAGATAAAGATAAAGACCACGATTGCTCAACCGACATTGATATGCTCCTGCTGGTTCCCCAACCTTCTTTGCAGTTAAGGTTTATACACTTAGTTAACATCAGACATGAGCAGAACGATGTCATGTCCTTCCACGCCTTGGCCTTTCAAGCCGCCTGTGCAGTCTGCCACCTTGCCCCGTGTGGGTGTGGCGGTCACGTGTTCCCGATGAGGGCTGGAATTTGCAAACAGCTTGGACCTCTGAGTCCCCTGGCTGGAAGACAGCGAGTAGGGCAAGCTGCCTCACAGTTGTCAGCACATGGCATGAGCAAAAGATACATATCGACTGCACTTGAAAAACTTGAGAAAGACTGGCAGATAAAAACAATAGCGCTCCGTGCTTCTATATTAGAAATCAATTCTTGCCTCACTTAATGCTTAAGACATTAATTGATTAACAGTTCCACTAAAGATGAATACATAAATGGAACCGAAATATATTTGGGAGCAAAGGAAATGAATAGTCATCACAGTTTACAATTGGGAAGAATATTCCATATAAGGAAAAATAAATTCAAGGGAAAAAGAAAGCTGTGCAATTGATGTTCTTCACTCTTCTCTCAGGTTTTCCAGGGCAATTTCGACAATGACACCCACAGAAAAAATGTCATCGACCCCCCCATCTATGCACGACACATAAGAATCCTGCCCTGGTCCTGGTACGGGAGGATCACGCTGCGGTCAGAGCTGCTCGGCTGCACGGAAGAGGAATGAGAAACCCACGCACCCCACATCCTCTCCTGTTCCCCAGAAAGTATCTCCGTGGAAAGAACTGTGCAGATCCATAGGAAACTGAATGTTTTTGTTTTGTTTTGTTTTGTTTTGATGAAAAAGCTCTCAAATTCTGGTAGGCCACTGTCTTTTTAAGGAAATCTAAGCCTGCCTTTTCAGTGATTTCAGTTTTATGGTTCAACTCTCTTAAGTAACATCACATTAACTGTGAATTACTTTTTCCATTTTTTTTTTCGGAATTATTTACATTGGTTGAGATGGGTTAGGGAAAGAAAGTAGCCTTCTTTTTTATAGCAAAGGTTTAAAAAAACCTCATAGTTATCGCCAAATAAAAGAAGAAGAGTTGATAGAGCTTTTACAAGAGATGCTTAATTCTTATTAAAAATACTACAATGTTAGCAATAAGTTTTTTTAATGACTTTGCATTACCTTGTTTCCCTGTGCCTGACACTCAGTGTTTATAACAGAATTTAGAAGAATCTGTGATATGCAGCAGTACTAATTAATACTATGATTCCCACTTTACGTCCATTGTTTCTAATGAGAGAGTTCTGACTTTTTCCCCCTTGGACTTCAGCCTGTATTCTTTACTTTGCTTATTGCCTGAATTAGTATTTTTTCCATTTGCAGTTTTTCATATTATTTGCCCAAAGCAAATGTTGTGTCCCTTTATATATCTATAGAATATGACTGAACATCAGCAGATTGATCCATAGTTAATATCAGTTACATATGTTTTATTTCTGAGGAAAACTGCACCTATGTAATCCCCAAATACCTCCTTTCTGTTGTTTCACTATGAGGAACAGCAAAAGTACTATGTCCCCTTAAAATTTTTAAGTATTTACTTAGCCCTATGTTTACTTTGAAATAACAGAATCACGAATCTTTGTCTATTTCAAGAGCATCTAGCAAACTAATATTAACACAGTGCTACATCATTTGGCCAAACATACTCCTCTTCCCACATTTCCTGTGAAACCAAAATTCTGTCGATATTTGAAACTCGTGGTGGTTTCCCAGGAAAGCACATTGTGTAGTTATTTGTAACAAGCGAAGTATTTACTAATGACAATGTTGTAAACCATTCTCAAGATGAAAATTGATTTCTATTTATTTTGCCTCAAAGGTCCTGAAAAAATAAGCAATTATCCTAACAATTTGTTATTGATAATGGAGGTTTCATTGACATGTCTCTCAAATTAAAGATCACCCTGCCTACATAAAAGTCCTCAACCTCTAATTTATGAGCTTTACAAGTATTTATTTTATAAGGCTTAGACACAGAATTATTGGAATTTTAAATCAAGGGTCCTGGAAAGAAAGGATGGTATGTGTACGAAATGTTAAGGCCCTGACCAACACATATAAGTCTTTTTTTTTTTTCTTTAATTCTTGGGCTGCATCACAAAAGCCACTAGACTGTTAATGTCCTGTCTGTCTGTGTGTTAACAGCATTCCTTAGTGATGTATATATGCAGTGGTCTTCAAGCATAGTGAAGAATCTAAAAAGCAAGTCAATCACATTGGTGTTTTAATGAGGAAGCTAACTAATCCAAGAGGACGGCCCAGTCACAGGAGGCTTCCAAGCTCACATGTCTTCTAATTCAGGTTCTTATAATAAAATTGTGGACTGTAAGCCCTGCGCAGTTTTCAACATCTTTCTAAGAGAAATTGCTGTGTCTTCAGTATTATCTTTTTCAAGTTGGGAATGCAAAATATTTTAAGTGACTACAGCTGTACTCATGGTTTGCACAATTACTGAGAGTCAGAAATACACACTTATAGTGCAGCCAGCACTTCCTATTTCTTTGGGGATTTAAATTTCTGAATGTTTTTCTTTGCACATTATGCAGGGTTTTTGTGTTTTAAGATTATATTTTAAATGTTATGTGTAGTACCTTGTGATAATTTACATTTCCAAGGCTATTCATGGTTTTGTGTGAGGTTTTGAATTTTTTATATTAACAGCTATTAAAAAGAAGTTGGTGAAAATTATATTTCTTACTTTTAGAAAGGAACTGAAATTACTTTCTCTTGCTTGTACACTTATTCTCTGTGTTATATAATGTTCACAGTATAGTGAGTCCAATGGAATATTTGTCCCCTGATGCCCAAAACTGACAACAGCAAAGAGCCTCCCTGATGTGGAAATGTTCATAATTATTGTGAAATAGACTCCGTGTTGCCTGTGCCAATGACATTATAGTGAAGCAAATTTACTTTATCTTAATTCTCACTGAAATAAATCTCATAAGCAGCAAATAAGAATTACCTAACCTTCACTATATTAACTGTAATGTGTTAATTTTATCATTTATGAGACTAAAAAATCCAGCCATCTCCATTTGATCTATGTCCTATTGAGAGCATTTATCGCAGTCACAACTGCATTTAAGGTTGACTTTCTCTTTCTAAATGACTTCATAGAGATTGGTGTGAATTTTGGAGACTTGGGGTACTAATGATTGTATCTTTGCTAGTCCACAAACTATGAAATGTAATTCTGAATGCCAGCTTCTGAAGGGTCAATAGGTTCAAAAATGACCGAGACACAACAACCTTTGCAAATTTTCAAGCTGTGTGATATCCTAATGTTGTATTATTTTCCTTTGTATATATACTTAAATCACATAGGATGTTGTAAAGTCAGTATGACCTTGTCCAGTCTTTAAACTTAAAATAAACTTTTGAAAATCTTGGAAACTTTTCAAGCAGTTATAATTAAAAATGTTTGCAAGAATGCACAGATTGTCAATGCTGGTGACTCTCGACTATATGCATGGCACATTTTCTGCATGTGTAGAAGAACACTTTAACAGCTATAGAGAGAATAGAAATTACTGGAGCTTTCAAACATCTAAGGATATGAGCTAAGTCTGTCATTCCAGGATTATCAAAACATGCTTCCCTCATGCCCTGATATTTGTAGAAAGTTTGCTAATAACAATCTAGAGCCATTATTTTTTGCCTCCTGTATATTAAGCTGTTGTGATGTAGGACTGATCTGCCCACTGTTAATCACATGATGTTACTGTTATTTCTACTATCTTTCCAGCTCACGGTGCTCAGCAGCATAATGAAGTGCTCAGGCAGCAAGGAGCTGTAACCCGACACTAGAAATGCATGTTCTAAGTTCACCTGGAAAATCAGAACCCCAAGCCTCTCCAAAAATCCTTTCTGCCTCTCTGGAAGTCACTAGGGAAATATTAAGCCTATGTACTTCCCACTTTTTCCTATTTTTCTTAGAACTCAACAATTTGAGAAAAAATAAGATATTAAATGTTGACTTCAAAGCATCAGTGAATCTCGTATATCTCTTAGTATTAACTGATATGTGTTTGTGTGGCCTTTCATGTTCTTGTTTCCTTATCTTTTGCATACACATACATGTATTTCTGTTAAATAAATGTACTTATACATGTATAATTTTAAGAAGGCTGATAATGAACCCTGACATTATCGATTCAAGATGAAATTAATTGTATCAACAGAAAATATTTAAAAAGAAATTTAGAACTACAAGGTTTTTTAAATGATTCATTCAAGATGCAAAAATAAAAGAAGCCTTTAGAATCCCAAGGAGAAAAGCTGGACAGATTGGAAACTGTTTTTAGAGTGTATTGAGAATAATTTTGTGAATGGAAAAACATTTTCTACAATTAAAATTAAAATTCAACATATCTAACACTGCAGCTTTAAATACATGATTTAAAGATTTGGGTAAAGAAACAGAGTTTTTTCTGTCAGAAACATACTGATTAATGTCTTATTTTCCGAAGAATAGGGTTTTAAAGAAATTAACAGACAAGTGAGTAAATTAGTTGCTTGTGAAAAAATATTGCCTCTACACTTTGAGATGAAAAAAACAACCTTTTATTGGGACTGGTGAAACAGAGAATTAAATCACTTTGCCAGTGGACAAGTGTCTCAACTACCATGAACCAAAGAGAATTCTGATTTGTCTTTACAAAGATAAAGAACTCCCAGAGTAAGTTATAATTTTCCTAATGCATTTGAGACAGGAAATAGGATTCTTTGCTTCTATTATAGTAAATACCTATAATTCATAATTGGAATATTTCAACATAGCTGCCACATAAAGTGTTTTCTACAGTGATCAAGTGGAATTTATTTAGAGTTATTTCTGTTAGATGAACTTGGTGGCAGTAAGGAGAAAACAGTTTTGACAAAGACGTCTCCTTTGGTTGTTTTTGTGTAATGTGGCAAAAATTGGTTGAGCTGTTTGAAAACAGTAATGCTGTGGAAATATGCTGCAGCAGCACCAGTAAATGGCCATTGTATTGGTGATTAAAGACTGCATATGGTAACTGCCTTTGATTTACTTTTATTTAATGCCCTCAAAGGCATGAACCACACACTTACATATTTAGTGCTCTTGGTGTGCTCACAAGTAAACATGTTGATAAAGATGATGAATCACAACTTAAACTCAACCTGCTGCCCCCTGCCTAGGAAGGGGTGGCAGTGAGAACTATGGTTCATTCAAACACTGCATCCCCCACTGCCAGTCTGCAAATAGCATTGTGATCATTCCCACAGGTGCAAGGCCAGGGTGCTGCTGAGGATCAACAGGGAGACAGCTACGAGCAGACATGTGCATGAGACAGGAAACAGAAATGGCTGCATGAGAGATGGCTGAGGGGAAAACATAAATGCACATATATCTTACAATTGCTCCCCTTTTTAGTGATATAGCATTGTGGGAGGAATTGGTAAATGACAAGTACAGAGAAGCAGAATGGAAGTGGCATAATAAAAAATTTATTTTCTCAACCAAAGGTCGATTGCACTAAGAGCATTGCCAGTGATTGACCCTGTATTGGGTAGCAGCTTCTTCTTCTATAGGTTTTACAGCCATGATCTCATTCAGGTGGTTTCATTTCATTTCCTCAGTTCACATTACCCATGTACAAATTACAGTAACAAGACAGTTAAATTTAACCCAGACATAACAATTCCTTGTAGTTCAGGAATTTACCTTAATGTTCCTCTACCTATCAATTCTAGCGCACAAGGAAGGGGATGTTCAAGGTCAGGGATGAGGTCAGATTTCCCATTTCATGGTCAATGCCTCCAGTGTCTGTTAATTTTGAACTAACAAAGCAGATTACTGTTAGAGACAGCAGAAGTCATTTTACGTTCTCCTAACAATTTGTAGGTTTTTAGATTATTTACAAAAGTTCTCTCTATCAATAGCAGAGATTGAAAAGAAAAAGTAACAAAGATTCAGGAACAGCCCTTGCAGAGCAGGGGCTCAGGCAGAAACTGAGCGAAGGAGTTAGAAGTGACACAGCACAAAGGGAGACAGAATGATCCACAGCAAGCAGCTCTAGCTTCTTGGTTCTCAAGTTTCTTAGTTAATCATCTGCCACACAGACACATGTTATTTTTTGACAGCAGAGAGATGTTTAAAATAAACCTGTCTTCAGTTGAATAAGTATCTTGATAAAATGCTTAGGGTTCATGGATTCAGACTTCAGGGATGATGTTAAATCAATATAAATAAATAATGCATTCAAAACTGCTGATGGAATCAGGGCTATTTTATTAATTAAGTACACCAGGAAACAAGAGAAGATGGGAACGTAGCAGAGGTGAGGGGAGAAAAAAAGGAAAGTCCTCTGTAAAAATTATTTTATAAAATATTTTAATTATATTCCTGAATATGTGTGTGTGTATTTTTTTTCTCTTGATCATGGTGTAACATAGTATTCTCTAACATCAAGACAAGCTCATGAAAGTCAAAAAACCTCTGCCTCATAGTCAGCAAGCTGCTTTCCACCTAGGTGGTGTGCTGGTGGCCAGTGTGAGTTTCCAGCCAGGACTGGACACTCTCAATAGAAGGTTGTTGGAGTTTTGGTGGGGAGAGAAGAGGCCTGTTGCTGAAAGCATTGCCAGAGACATAGAGGTATGAAATAGAAAGCCATGTGCATTTTTGTCTCTTTACCAGTATTACCTAATCACATATCTGTGGAATAATAGGTCAGTGGGTGAAATGTTGATCATCTTGGGAATATATTATTAACAATCCACCAATGACTGAGCAAAAATGAACTACTGTGGGACATTTGA